AATGAGCCAAGGAACAGGAACAAGCCGAGAGACAGGAATCAGCCAAGAAATGGGAATGAGCAAAGAAATGAGAATGAGCCAATGGGATCCAGGAGCATTCCCAGACCCCCAGACCCCCATCCGAGTCCTGCCTTCCCCATCCTTGGTTTGTTTCTCACAGGATTCCCTGTCCTTTTTCCTCAAAAACATCCAAAATTCCAACCCCATCCTGGGGTTGGTTCCCCTTCCCAATCCCAACTAAATCCAGCACAAGCCTCCATCCTCATCCTCCTCTGCCCTGGAGCCACCATCCTCATCCTCCCTATCCACAGATGCTTCTCATTCCCTCCAGACCCCAGGAACAGCTTTTCCCTCTGTGGCTCCACGTTCGGAGAGTTAATTCCCACTTTTTCTTGGATTGAGCTGTTGTTGCACTGACCCATTTCCTGGGATCGTGTTTTCAGGAGGCTCCTGACCCATTTTCCCCTCCCCTCCAGCTCGTTGCTTAAGAAATGGTGAAATAACCAGGTAGGAATTCCAGCTCCTGGTCCAGTCACTCCCCTCCAAACAATCCCAAAGTTCCTGGCCTGGCTTTGGATCCTGAGGTGCCACCAGGAAACCGAGGCAGGGGGAATTGGACGGGAGAGGAGGGAAGAAAACAGGAACAGGGTGAGGTTTCCATGAGTTTTCCAGGAAAAGAGGTTTTCCAGGCCCACCTGAGCCGTGTAGGGATAGGACTCCTCGGACTCGATGCCGCCGTTGTCGATGATGTACTGGAACGCCTCCGTCATGAACCCGCCGGCACAGCCCTTGTTCCCGTACATCCCGGAGCAATCCACCAGGTTCTGGACGCTCAGGGACACCAAATTCCCGGTTTTCAGCTTCAGCTGCGCCTCCAGCGCTCCCACGGCGCTGAAGGCCCAGCAGGATCCGCAGGCGCCCTGCGAAGGAGGCGGGAGAGGCTCAGGAGCTGCCGTGGCGAGCGGCGGGAGGATCCTGGCGTGAGGCTCACCTGGTTCTTCACCTCGGTCACACAGCCCTTGTCCCGCCAGTCCAGAGCCTCGGGGATGTCCCCAACAGGCCGGGGACGGGCTGGGAATGCAGAATTCCGGCGGGGACGGGGACGGAGCTGGAGCCCCGTCAGCGATGCCGCCACCTCCTCGCTGGTCTGGGGGGAAGGAGAATCCCAGAGGGTGATTCCAGCTCTCTGTCAGCCCCACTTGAGGGTGGCGCGGGATTTCTGAGGTGGAATTGGCTGTGGGGGGATCCTCAACTCCTTGTTTTTCCATTTAATTTCCAGAGGTTAATCAGGAAAGGAAAAGCTCAGCCCCAGCTCCCCAAATCGCTGGAAAATGGGTCATAACCCCCCCGCAAATTTGGGATACAAAAGAAGGATGATCCATAAATATCCCAAATGACCAGGACAGCTCCTGTGTGCCCCAAATCCCACCCCCAGGGAGTTCTTTCCTCACAGAATTCCAGACAGCTCTGGTGTGTCCCAAATCCCACCCCAAGGAGCTCTTTCCTCATAGAATTCCAGCCTGTCCCACCAGGATGGGCTGAGGGGGATGTCAGGAGTTTTCCCACCCTAGATCCACCAAAATCCAGGTTCAGTCACCCTCCAGGGCAATTCCAGAGGGCTGGAACCGCTGCCAGCACCCACCATGTCCCCCAGGTGGTTCATGCCCAGCGTGTAGGAGCGGAGCCCCAGGGAGTGCTCCAGGTTGTGGAGGGTCACCAGCCACAGGTTCTTCTCCCACGTCAGGCGACGGAGCAAATCCTCCTGCAATTCCAGCAGGGCCCTGTCAGAGCCGGGACAGCCCCTCCAGTGCCATCCCACCCCAGTTCATCCCAGTAAAAGCCGTTGGGAGCCCCAGCTGGGTCATCCCTGGGGAGCGGCCGCGCTCGGAAGCGCCATCGGATCTTCTCCAACCAGGAGAGCCCCAGAAAATCCTGGGACATTCCCAGGACATTCCCAGCTCCCCCTCTGCCACATTCCCACCTGGGGGTGATATTCCTTGCCGTAGGATTTTTTCCAGAGCTCCCAGTGCCGGTCCAGCGCGGGGTCGGGGTGTCCCAGGGCCAGCACCAGCAGGGCCAGGAGGGCGGCGGGAGCCAGCGGCTCCATGCCGGGATTCGGAGCAGGAGCCGAGGACTCGGAGCCGGGATTGACCCCTCGGTGACAAATCCGGTCTGGGCAGGGAGGTGACAACACCCCGGTGACCTGGCGGTGCCACCGGCCCGCCCGGACACGCAGCACAAAATTCCCTGCAGGGGAGAATCCCGGAGCCAGCCCCGTGTCCGTGAGGACAGGCCAGGACACATCCGAGCTGCTGGGACAAATCCGTGCCCAAAAATCCCCAAATTCCCTGGTTTTACCCGAGCAGCGCCCCCCAGCATGGGATACACCGACAATCCCACAATCCAGGTGGAGGTTCGGGATAAAACAGACCCTAAACCCCCATAAATCCACTTGTCCCCGAGTTTTACTTCCTCCAAGCGCTCCTGGGGTGGGGATTAAAACATCAAAGCCGCCCAAATTACCTCCAGAAGCTGCTCCGGGCTGGCTCTGACCTCCAGGAGGGGCTGGGGAGGGGATCTGGGGATTCGGGCTCGGATCCGGAGCGTTCCCGGCGCCGGCACGCCGGGATTTGGGGCGCGGGGCAGCGGCGCCGTGGGGAGAAATCACGAGCCAGGAAATGAGGGAATGAGGAACCGAAAGTCCCAAGTTCGATTTCAGTTCAGCTCTGAGGGGGCCGGCAGGGTGAGAGGTTCCAGAAAACACCCAGGGAGGGAGGGAGGGTTTGTTGTTTCAGCACCCCAAAAATGCGGGGTGAGAGCGGGGTCACAGCTCGGGGTGGGTTTGGGGAGCTCCAGGTGGGAATGGGGAGAGCTGAGCCCCCAGTTCACCCCACCAGAGCCAGATCTGGGGAAAACATCTTGGTTTTTCCCGTCCAGATGGAAAAAGAGGATCCACATTAGGATCAGAACATGGATCCATGTTAGGATCAGCAAGGGGAGCAGGAGACACGGATATTCCCAGTTCTTCCAGTTAAACCACAGACAGAAAAGGTTTATCCAGGTGGAATTCCCAATTGAGCATCCCCACAAGGACAGGAAGGAGACTTGTCCCACCCCAGGGTGGTGGTGGCACCACCTGGATTGAGAATCATGGAATGCTTTGGGAAGGGACGGCAGGGACACCTCACATGAAGGAATTCCCTCCCCACATCCCCAAACCCCGCAGTGTCCCTGCAGCCAAGAACCAGACCTGACCCGTTTCGGGTATTTTATCCAAAATTTATTAGCGGGAAGCGGAGGGGGCGACAGGGACAGGGCGGAATTCCCGTGTGTCTCCGTGGCATCCCAGCTGCCTCAGTGCTGCTTCCGCCGGAACGAGCAGCCTGGGGGAGCAAACACAGACCTGGCAATGCTGCATCCCTCTGGGAACGGCAATTCCACCTCTCCCATCCCAAATTCTGGGGAATTCTGATGGTAAAAGCTTTCAAAACAGCCAGAATTCCAAACCTCTCCTTGCAATTCCAACCCTCCACCAGAATTCCAAAACTACTGAGCAGGGGAATCAGCCCTGCTGAGGTCCCAAATCCCCCCACCCCAAACACGAACCAGCCCCTCCAGTGGGATCCACACCGTGTCCCCCCACCCCAAACATCCCCAAATCTCCCCAAGCCCTCCTTGGGTGGCACCTCCCCATGGAGCAGCCCCGGATTCCTCCATCCCCTCCCACCCTCGGTATTCCCAAAGTCCCCCCGGGATACCCACCCTCGGTGAGCCGGGCCTTGCCCCCCGTGGGCTGGCACAGCACCGTGGAGCAGCCCACGCAGAGCACCACGGTCTGAGCATGGCTGAACACGGTCGTGATCTTGTAACAGCCTGCGGGGACAGCGGAGTTACCGGGGGGACAAGGGTAGGGGGACCGGGACACGCGGAGGGACACGGAGGGACAACGGGACAGGGAAGGAAACGCGTGAAGGGACACGAAAGGAGGATAGCGGGAGGGACACGGAGGGAGAGCCCAGTGGGAAACGGGGAAAGACACGTAAAGACGGCGGGACTTAGGGAAATAAACACGTGGAAGGGCAAAGAGAGAGCGGGGACAACAGCGGGACACGGGGAGACCCTCGATGCCCACCGGGGCACTTGACGTCCATGAAGTACGAGTTGGGGCTCTGCACCAGCCGCTTCTTCTTGTGCTTGCGCTTCTCCTCCTCGGGAGACGGGTGCAACAGGTCCTTGGCGAGCTGTGGGCACACCGGGATCGGTCAGTCCTGGGCGCACCGCGATCGCTCCCGCTCCCCCCACCCTCCGTCCCCTCACGCCGCTGCCGCCATCTTGGGGCTCCCCCTTCGCGCTCCTCGCCCTCAGCGCCCCGCGCGCCCCCGGCCCCGCCGCCCTCCCTGCGCCTTCCCCGCGCCCTCCCGCCCCTCGCTGGCCCCGGCGGGCGCGGTTCTGGGGCGGCCGCGGGGGCGGCGGAGCCCCGGCAGGGTCGGGCCGCACTCACAGGCATGGCGGCGGCGGCGTGAGGGGCCGGAAAGGGACGGGCTCAGCCCCGCAGCGCCATTTCCGCTGCGGGGCGGTCCCAGGGGCGGAAGTGGGGCGGTGCCAGCGTTGGGCTGTGGCGGCGGTGCTGACGCCATTTTGGGAAGGTCGCTCACTGAGCCGCCTTTTGGGACGGTCGTTAAAGTTGCGTCACTTTGACTGAAGCTCCATCATTGCCGCCATTTGGGGAGATCCTTTAAACTGTCGGAATTTAGGAAGGCGCCTCATTGTCAGGTCGTTCGTGTTTCCGCCATTTTGATGGTCCCTGTGTTGCCGCCATCTTGGGGAGGCATTCATGGCCGTCCGCCATTTTGAGAAGGTCATTGAACCGCTGTCATCTTGGGATGGTGGCGCTAGCGCCATTTTGGGAGTGGCATATGGGTGTAGTGACGTAAGAGTACCGATTTTGGTGGCGTCATCTGGGCGTGGCGTCACGGCGGGAGGCGGGGCCGCAGCCAGGCCCCGCCCGGGGGGGGCCGGCCCGGTCCCGGTGGCGGCGGGCGGTGGCGGGGGCCATGGCCAAGGCCTACGACCACCTCTTCAAGCTGCTGCTGATCGGGGACAGCGGCGTGGGCAAGACCTGCCTCGTCATCCGCTTCGCCGAGGACAACTTCAGCAGCACCTACATCTCCACCATCGGTGAGTGGGACCCCCTCGGGACCCCCCCGGGACCCCCCTAATGGGGACCCACCGGGATTCACCGGCACCCCCCAAACCGGGACGCCCCCGTCAAGTGGGACCCTCCCCAAGTGGGAACCGCCGGGATTCACCGGGACCTCCCAACGGGACCCACCGGGATTGTTTGGGACTCCAATCCTGGGACCCCTCTGGGATCCCCCAACCGGGATTCACTGGGATCCCCCCTCTCTGAAATCACTCAAGGACCTTTCCCAGATGCTTCCACCCCGGGACCCCCATCCCGGGATTCACCGGGACCCCCAACCCGGAATTCACCGGGACCTCCCCTCTCTAAAATCCCCCCGGGACCCCTCCCAGGTCTCTCTGCCCCGGGACCCCCATCCCGGGATTCACCGGGCACTCAGCAAGAACCCCCATCCCAAAATGCCCGGGACCCCCAGGCTGGAACTCACCGGAACCCCCCACCGGGAGCCTACCGGGTTCTTCCCGGGAACCTCCACCCCGGGATTCCCCTCCCGGATTTTGCCCCCCCCTTTCCCGGAGAGCCAGATGGTTCCTGGGCGCCGGAATGCCGGCGCTGGGAGCACTGGGAGCGCTGGGAGCACTGGGAGGGGACTGGTTCTGCTCCTCAGTGCCCCCCTCTCTTTCCCCCAGGCATCGACTTCAAGATCCGCACTGTGGATATCGATGGGAAGAAGATCAAGCTGCAGGTCTGGTGAGTCGGGGATGAGGAATGCTCAGGGAAGGTTGGAGACCCCCAAATCCCCCCCATAAAATTCCCTCAAAATCCCCAAACCCGCCCCGTTTCCGCAGGGACACGGCGGGACAGGAACGCTTCAAAACCATCACCACGGCCTATTACCGCGGAGCCGTGGTACGGGGAGGGGGCTGCAGCCCGGGGGGGGTCGGGACCCCACCCCAAAACCGCGGGAAGGGGGTCCCGAACCCCCTCCCGTGACCCCCGATCCCCCCCCAGGGCATCGTCCTGGTGTACGACATCACGGACGAGAAATCCTTCGAGAACATCCAGAACTGGATGAAAAGCATCAAGGAGGTGGGTGGGGGGATTCTGGGGAGAGGGGGGGAATTGGGTGGGGGTCGCGGGGGTCCTGCCCGTGTTTCCCTCCCCTGTCCCCAGAACGCCTCGGCCGGGGTGGAGCGGCTCCTCCTGGGCAACAAGTGCGACATGGAGGGGAGGAGGAAAGTGCAGCGGGACGCGGCCGAGAAGGTGGGAGGGGGCTCGGGGAGGGGGCTGGGAGGGAATTCGGGGTGTTAAGGGGGTCCCTGGGGGTGCGATTGGGGGGGTTTTGTGGGATTGCGGGGTCTGGAGGCGGCTTTGGCGCTGGGGGGCTCTGGGGACACGCAGGAGGTATCTGTGGGATTGGGACTGTGGGGGCTCCATGGGAATTGGGGGGGTCACAGGAGGGTTGGGGGGGGGTTAGTGGGATTGGGGGGTTTGTGGAGGGGTTAGTGGGATTGAGGGGTCACAGAGGGTTTGGGGGGAGGGTCCCAGGGGGCTGGAGGGGCTGCAAGGGGATCACAGGAGGGTCACGGTGCCTCAGCTGGCCAAGGAACACGGGATTCGCTTCTTCGAGACCAGCGCCAAGTCCAGCCAGAACGTGGAGGAGGTGAGGAGGGGTCCCTGGGACTGCACCCCTAAATTTGCCGGTATGGGGGTCCCTCCTTCCTCCTGGAGGGTCCCTGAGCACTGCCCTCCCCTCTGAGCAGCCCCTGTCCCCCCAGGCTTTCTGCACGCTGGCACGGGACATCCTGCACAAATCCTTCAGCAAAGCCGTGAGTGGGGCCGGGATTTGGGGGTGGGGGACAGCCCAGGGACCCCCCCTGCGCCCCCCTGACCCCCTCCTCTCTTCACAGCCCCCCGGCAGCAGCAGCAGGGCCCTGCTGGAGCCCGGCGCCCCCCGGAAGGCCGGCGGGAGGTGCTCCCTGGGGTAGGGGCTCGGGAGCTCCCCGAGACCCCCGGGGCAGCGCGGGCGCCTCTCCGGAGGGATCTGGGCGGGAATCGGGGGGGATTTGGGGCTGCCCCCCTCTCTCCTTGTGCCATAAAGCCCCGCTGTGCCTTGTCCCGGCTCCGGAGTCTCTTTGATGGGGATTTGGAGGGGGCGGAACGGGGTTGGGATCGCGGTCGGGACCGGGATTGCGATCAGGATCGGGACTGGAGACGGGACCGGGATCCGGGACCCGGATCGGGGTCACGACCGGAATCGGGACCGGGACCGGGACCGGTATCGGGATTGGAGACGGGATCGAGATCAAAATTGCGATCGGGACAGGGACCGGGACTAGGATTGCGATGGGGATCGGGATCGGAGACGGGAACGACATCGATACCGTGATCGGGACCAGGACCAGGATTGCGATCGGGACCGGGACCGGGACGAGCGGCAGCGAAGCCGCGCCCAAGCCACACCCACAACACCAAACATGGACATTTTAACCACGCCCACTCACGGAGCCACGCCCCAATCTCATCAGCATATCCCCGCCCCTAATTAAACTGAAAACACGCCCCTCATAAATTAAGCAGTGCCCGATATGGTCAAGCCACGCCCCTTTTGCGAGCTTCTAGTCACGCCTCTCTCTCCCATTGGCTGAGCCTCCAGGCCCCGCCCTTCCCCTCCCGGCACCCCCGGCAGTTCCAACATGGCGGCGCCGCCGTCGCGGCGGGGCCGGGCCCGGTAGTTCCCGGTAGATCCCGGAGGATCGCAGGGGTTCCGGGGCTTTCTGGCGGATTCCGCCGCCCCGATGGGGCCCGGCGGCCTCGCGGTGCTGCTGGCGGTGCTGAGCGGGCTGCGGTGAGCGGGGAACGGGGGAGACCGGGGGGTGGAAGGGACGGGCCCGGTGCGGTGCCCTCACGGCAGCTCCTCTGTCCCCACAGCCCGGCGGCGGCGGCGGCGGCAGCGAGCGAGGAGCGGCCTGGTGAGCAGGACGGGGCCGGCTTTTGGGACGGTGCGGGGGGCTCGATGTGGTCCCGGGGGGCTCGGTCTGATCCCGGAGCTCGGTCCGGTTCCGGGGGCTCGGTCTGGGGTCCGAGGGGCTCGGACCGGGATAGATCCGGGGCTGTGAGGCTGGACACGGACGGATCTGTCCGGTAGCGTGCTCCGGGGCTCTGTCCGGTACCGAGGCGCTCCCCGCCGGTTCCCGGTAACGCGATCCCCCCGCCCCGCAGCGAGCCCCGCGGTGGCCACGCCGTGCTGGCGAGTGGAGCAGTTCGTGGTTGCCCAGGAGTGCACGCGGTGCTCCGGCTTCGAGATGGTGAGTGCGGCTCCCCGGGCTCGGGGTCCCCCCGTTATCCCGGGGGTCTCTCCGTGACCGAGCCCTCCGTGCTCCCGTTGGCAGAAAACGATCCCGGCGTGCGGCCCCACCGGCTTCATCGAGAAAATCAACTGCGCCTCGTCCCACCGGGATGAGTACAAGAGGTGGGGCCGGGAATTAACGGGATTGGGGCTGGGAATGAACGGGATAAGGTTGGGAATTAACGGGGATCGGGGCTGGGAATTAACGGGAACAGGGCTGGGAATTAATGGGAACGGAGCTGGGAATTAATGGGAACAGAGCTGGGAATTAACGGGGGATCGGGGCTGGGAATTAACGGGATTGTGGCCGGGAATTAACGGGATAGAGGCTGGGAATTAATGGGATCGGGGCTGGAAATTAACGGGGGATCGGGGCTGGGAATTAACAGGAACAGGGCTGGGAATTAACGGGATTGGAGCTGGGAATTAACAGGGGATTGGGGCTGGGAATTAACGGGATAGGGTTGGGAATTAACGGGATTGGGGCTGGGAATTAACGGGATTGTGGCCGAGAATTAACGGGAATGGAGCTGGGAATTAACGGGATCGGGGCCGGGAGATCCTGGGATCGGGGCTGGGAATTAATGGGATAGGGTTGGGAATTGACGGGATTGGAGCTGGGAGTTAACAGGGGATTGGGACCAGGAGATCCCGGTATTTGGGCTGGGAGATCCCAGGATCGTGGCTGGGAATTAACGGGGGATCGGGGCTGGGAATTCCATCAGGGCCGGGAATTCCTGTGAGATCGGAGCTGGGAATTCCCGGGGGATCAGGGCTGGAAATTCCAGGGGAATCTTCGATGGGACCTCCCGTGGGATCCAGGCTGGGAATTAACGGGTGATCGGGATTGGGAATTCCATCGGGGGCTGGGAACTCCTGTGGAATTTGCTCTGGTCATTCCCGGGGGATCAGAACCAGGAATTCCCGTGGGATCGGGGCAGGTGATCTGGCCGGGAATTCCCGTGTGATGGATGGAGCGGGAATTCATTCATTCATTCATTCATTCATTCATTCATTCATTCATTCATTATCCCCGGGCCCGCCGCAGCTGCCGCTCGGCCGCGCTGGAGGCTCAGCGCTTCTGGCGCTTCGTGGGCTCCGCTCTGGGCGTGGCGGCGGCGGCGGCGGCGCTCGTGGTGCTGCGGCAGCGCGTGCTGGACCGGCGGGCGCTCGAGAAGGTCCGCAAGCAGATCGAGTCCATTTAGCCGGAGGCTCCCGAGGGCTCGGAGCCGGGAATTCCGCTGGCCCGGAGCGCTGCGAGGAGAGGCGGCCCCGGCTTTGCTGCCCGGAGCTGGAGTCCTGCTGGGATCTGCCTTGGGCAGCATCCAGGGCATCGCCCGGAGCGGGTGTGGAATAAATCCCTGGGTTTGTCCTTTTGGGGGGGATCGCCGTGCCCCCCAGCACTGGGATCTGCTCTGGGATCATCCTCCAGGAGAGGGATGTGGAATAAATCCTGGTCATGGTTCCTGGAGTGAGGCTGTGGTTGATTCTTGGGGGGATCCCCATTTATTCCAGGGCTGAGGGTCCCCAGGGGGGTGGAATGTGGAATAAATCCCAATCCCTGTGGCTGGAGCACGTTTGGCCTTTGGGGGTCCCCCCGACATTCCATGGGGTGCAAACACAGTTCAGGTTTATTCTGGAACGTTCCCCCATCACATCTCATCCCCGTGTCCCCGTGTCCCTCCTGTCCCCGCGTCCTGCCTGGAGGAATTGGTGCCCGGATCCCTTTGGAGGGCGGGAATTCCATCCCCAGGCCCCTCCCCGCCTCCGTCCTCCGCTCCCGGTCCCGGCTCTGGCCCCGACATCCACGGGAGGAACGGGAATTGTGCGACCTCTCCCGGTTCCCGCCGCGTCAGGATGTTCCTGGAGATCACTGCGGGAACGGGGACACCGATGGGGCGGGAGGGGCTGTTCCGGTTCCCATCCCGGTGCTCCCGTTACTTCAGGCCATTCCCGCCCCCCTCCCGGTGCTCCCGTTACCTCCGGTGGGCCCGAGGCCGTCCCGGTTGCCGCCCCGGCGGAACGGGCTGGAGCCGGGCAGCAGGATCAGCCCCAGCGACAGGAACAGGATCTGCGGGAGGGACGGGAGCCGTGAGCCCGGAGCGGGACCGGGAATATCCCGGGAGGGTCCCGGAGGGGCCGTACCAGGACACAGGTGCCGGTCTGGGCGGGCTTGGTGGAGGTTTCCTTGATCAGCGCCTGGAGCTGCCGCAGGAGAGACCTGCGGGAACGGGGTCAGCTCCGTGCCCATCCCGGTGCCCCATCCCGGCTCTGTGCCCTTCCCGGTGCCCCATCTCAGCTCCGTGCCCCTTCCCGGTGCCCATCCCGGTGCTCCGTCCTTGCTCTGTGGCCATCCCGGTGCCCCTTCCCGGTGCCCATCCCGGTGTCTCATCCCGGGGCCCATCCTGGTGCCCCATCCCGGCTCTGTGGCCATCCCGGTGCCCATCCCGGTGCCCCATCCTGGCTCCATGCCCATCTCAGTGCCCTTCCCGGTGCTCCATGCCCATCCCGGTGCCCAATCCCGGTGCCCCATCCCAGTGGTCCATGCCCATCCCGGCTCCATGCCCATCCCGGTGCCCTGTCCTGGCTCCATGCCCATCCCGGTGCCCTGTCCTGGCTCCATGCCCATCTCGGTGCCCATCCCGGTGCCCCCTCCCGGTGCTCACCCGTTGCTCGTTTCCAGCTCCTGCACCTTTTTCCGCAGCTCCTGGTTCAGTGCTGAGCACGCGGCCGCCCTACCCGGACAGAGAGAGGGACAATGACCGGGAATGGGGCACACCGGGATAACGGGAACACCGGGATAACGGAAATGCCGGGATAACGGGAACACCGGGATAACGGGAACACCGGGATAACAGGAATGCCGGGATAACGGGAACACCAGGATAACGGGAACACCGGGATAACAGGAATGCCGGGATAACGGGAACACCGGGATAACGGGAACACCGGGATAACAGGAATGCCGGGATAACGGGAACACCGGGATAACGGAAATGCCGGGATAACGGGAACACCGGGATAACGGGAACACCGGGATAACAGGAATGCCGGGATAACGGGAACACCAGGATAACGGGAACACCGGGATAACAGGAATGCCGGGATAACGGGAACACCGGGATAACGGGAACACCGGGATAACAGGAAAGCCAGGATAACGGGAACGCCGGGATAACGGGAATGCTGGGATAACGGGAACACCATGATAACAGGAACACCGGGATAACGGGAACACCGGGATAACAGGAATGCCGGGATAATGGGAACACCGTGATAACGGGAACACCGGGATAACGGGAACACCAGGATAACAGGAATGCCAGGATAACGGGAACACTGTGATAACGGGAACACCGGGATAACGGGAATGCCAGGATAACGGGAACACCGTGATAACGGAAATGCCGGGATAACGGGAACACCGTGATAACGGGAATGCCGGGATAACGGGAATGCCGGGATAACGGGAACACCGTGATAACGGGAATGCCGGGATAACGGGAGCCCCACCTGCTCTCCAGCTCGTCCAGGTATTCCTTCTTCCTCCTCCGGCTGTCCTGCGCCGATTGTTTGTTCCGGATCTTTCTCCGCACCTTTTTCAGGAGCCGCTCCTGGGCCTGGGGCACCGAGGGGTCACTGCTGTCCCCACCCCCCCCCTCCGGTGGCACCGAGCCCCCCCCCGTGTGCCCCCCGGCCGTACCTGGGTGAGGGGCAGCGCCCCGGGCAGGGTCACCCCCTCCTGTGCCAGCAGCCGCTGCTCCTCCTCCGTCAGCCGGAGCTGCGCCACACGGGGGGAACGGGGGAAACGGGGCTGAACTGGGGGGACTGGGGCAAACTGGGGGGACTGGGGGTGAACTGGAGGGACTGGGGTGAAAACTGGGGCGAACTGGGGGGAACTGGGGGGACTGGGGTGAGCTGGGGGATTCTGGGGGTGAACTGGAGGGACTGGGGGCGAACTGGGGTAAAGTGGGGGGGGGGTCCAGGAGTGAACTGAGGGGGTCTGGGGATGAGCTGGGGAGGTCTGGGGGTGAACTGAGGGAGCTGGGAGTGAACTGGGGGGGTCTGGGAGGGAACTTGGGGGGTCTGGAGGTGAACTGGGGGAGCTGGGAGTGAACTGGGGGAGTCCAAGGGTGAGCTGGGGGGACTGGGGTGAACTGGGGGGGTCCAGGGGATCAGCTGGGGAGGTCTGGGAGCAAACTGGGGGGACTCGGGGTGAACTGGAGGGGGACTAGGGTGAGCTGGGGGGGGGTCTGGGAGTGAACTGTGGGGACTGGGGCAAACTGGGGGGGGGGGGTCCAGGAGTGAACTGGGGGGGTCTGGGGGTGAACTGGGGGGGTCCAGAGGCAAACTTGGGGGGGGTCGGGGAGTGAACTGGGGGCGTCCGGGTGGGAGCTGGGGGATTTGGAGATGAGCTGAGGAGGTCTGGGGGTGAACTGGGGGTGTCTGGGGGTGAGCTGGGGGATCTGGGGGCGAACTGGGAGCACTGGGGGCAAACTGGGGGATCCGGGGATGAGCTGGGGAAGCCCGGAGTCGAACTGGGGGGACTGAGAGTGAACTGGGGGGGGGGGTCCGAGGGTGAACTGGGGATCTGAGGATGAGCTGAGGGGTCTGGGGGTGAACTGGGAGGGTCCAGGGGCGAACTGGGGGGTCTAGGGATGAGCTGGGGAGGTCCGGAGTCAAACTGGGGGGTCCGAGAGTGAACTGGGGGAGGGTCCGAGGGTGAACTGGGGATCTGAGGATGAGCTGAGGGGGTCTGGGGGTGAGCTGGGGAGGTCGGGGAGTGAACTGGAGGGTCAGGGACTGAACTGGGGGGTCCGGGGGTGCGCTGGGGGGTCCGGGGTTGAGCTGGGGGTGCAGGCACTCACGGTGGGCTGGGGGTCGGGCTGCGGGGCCAGCTGCACGCCGGGGAACAGCGAGGGGTGCAGGGGGGCGCTGAGGTCACAAACCACCTCCAGCAGCACCGGCGGGGGCCCCTCGGCCCGGGGGGGCTCCGGGCCGGTGCCGAGCCCGCAGGCGATGTCGGGGTTCACCGTCAGCCCCAGCAGCTCCTCGGTGCCGCTGCCCTGCGGGGACACCGGGCCGGGGTCCGTGACGGGACCCCCGCGACATCCCGGTGTCCCCGGGATATCCCGGTGTCCCCGGGGGGGTCCTGCCCTCCCGCGCCCCTCCCGCCCCCACTCACATCGTCCTCCGGGAGCGTCAAGATCTGGAAGCCCAGCACCGGCACCGGGAGCGAGGCGGGATCCGGGAAGAGCCCGTCGGGCTCCGGGAGCTCCGGTGCCTCCATTGGGGTTCCCTGGGGATCCCTCGTGCCCCGAGGATGAACCCCCTGCGGGTCCCCCGGTCCCCGGTGGTGCCGCCGCCTCCGCCCGGTGCCGGCGCTGGGCACCAGGATCTCCGGGATCCCGGGGAACGCGGCCAAGTCCCGCCCCGTGCCGGGAAGGGCCGCGATCATCCCTCCCCCCGCGGGGCTCGGGGCTCCGGCCGCCCTACCGGGGCACCGGGGGCACCGGGGGGTGCGGCTGCCCCGGTACTGCGTCCCGGAGGGTCTCGCGGGGGAACCGGGAACGGGGCAACCGGGCTTGGGGCGGCTCGGTACCGGAGCCGGTGCCCCGCGCGCCCCCCGGTAACGGAGTTGGGGTGGAGGAACGGGGAGATGCCCCCGATAACGGGGTCCGGGAGTGCAGGAACGGGGAGATCCCCCCGGTAACCGGAGCATTCCCCCGCCCCGCCCGGCCGAGCGGACACGTGCGCGCTCCCGGGACCGCGGGGCCGCGCGGGCTCCGCTCGCTTCCCATTGGCTGCGCCGCGCGTCAATCAGTGACGTAACCGGGGATTCCGCGCCGCTATTGGCTGGGCTGGCGGCGGTGCCGATCCCGGAGTTCCCGGGACGCCGTTGGGATGCGGCGGGCGGTGAGTGCGGGGCGGGGGGAGCGGGGGTCCCGTGGGTCCCGTCCTCGGTTCCGACCCCCATTCCTGTCCTCGGTCCCGGTTCCGATCCCAGTCCCGGCAAAACCGCTCCTTGACTCCCGGTCTCGGTCCTTATTTCCCGATCCCCGCTCGGTCCCGGTCCGCAATCCCGGTTCTTGATCGTGGTCCCAGTCCCGGTCCTTGATCCCGATCGCGGTCGTGGTCCCCGGTCGCGCTCCTTGACCTCTAACGCGGTCTGTGGTCCCAAGTTCCCCATCCCGGTGCCCGATTCCGGTCCCGGTCCTTGTTCCCATTCCGGTCCTTGTTCCCATTCCGGTCCCTCCCCGCCGCCCTGTCCGTGTCCCGGGGCCCCCGGGCGGGGTGGGGGTCGGTGCCGGGTGAGTCACCGGGGCCGGGGGCGGCTCTGACCGGCCCGTCCCGTTCCAGCCCCGCTTCCCGGGGATGCGCAGCGCGGCTCGGATCTTCCCCGGCGGCTGCGGGCGCTGAGCACCGGGAGCACGATGGACACCGGCATCGGGGCCGCGCTGGCCTGGAGCCCCGGGGCGGCCTCGCAGCCCCCGCCCGGGCTGGGGGTGAAGTTGGGGTCGCTGGTGCTGCTGCTGCTGCTGCCCCTCGCCTGTGGCCTCGCACCCCTCTGGTGCTTCCGACAGCCCCCCGGTACCGGGAATTGGGGTTGTCTCGGGGGTCTCAGGGGTTCGGGGAGTGGAGGGCTCATGGAGTTTGGGGGGTTCAGGGGTGTCTTGCGGAGTCTGGGGGTGTCCGAGGGGCTGGGACCAGCGCTGTCCCCACCTCAGCGCTGTCCCCACGGGGCCTGGCAGGGTGCAGGGTTGAGGGGGGGGTCTCGTTGGGGTCTCAGCTCCCCCAATTTGCCCCGCAGACCCCCGCAGCCCCGTGCTCAGCCTGGTGAGCTGCTTCTCGGGCGGGGTTTTCATGGGCACCTTCCTGCTGGACCTCCTGCCCGACTACCTGGGCAGCATCGGCGCGGCGCTGGAGGGGCTGCGCATCACGGTGAGACCCCCGGGGCTGGCACTGTGCCCACGGGTGTCCCTGTCACTATGGATGTCCCTGTCCTCATGGGTATTTCTGTCCCCGAGATTGGGAGGGGGTGGCTGGGATGGGGACAGTGCAGGGGGGACAGTGAGGGTGGGACAAGGACAGGGGGGTACAGTGGGGATGGACATTGAGAAAGGGACAAGGACAGAGACATGGACAGTGAGAACGGGACAAAGAGCACGGACATTGCAGAGGGTACAGTGAAAATGGGGCACTGAGGACATTGAGGATAAGGAAGCACAGGGCAGCTGGGACAATGGAGAAGGGACAGCAGGGCCAGCCGGGTGCCAGCAGAACAACCAGCATGGTGACAACATCCCCCAGAATGGTGACAATATCCCCCAGCCTCTCCAAAGTTCCTCTCCCAGCTCTGTGCCTCAGTTTCCCTGTCACATGATGCACGGACAGATCCTCCTCTGCCCGCAGCTTCCCCTTGGCACTGTCCCGTCCCCCTTGGCACTGACTGTCCCCACTGTCCCCTCCCCACAGCTGCAGTTCCCCCTGCCCGAGTTCATCCTGGCCATGGGCTTTTTCCTGGTGCTGGTGCTGGAGCAGGTGACGCTGGCGCAGCGCGAGCTGGCCGAGCCTCCCGAGGAGTCGCGGGCGCTGCTGCCCAACGGTTCCTCCATCCAGGCCGCGGCTCCCGGCCCCGGTGTCCCGGTGGGCTCGGCGGTGCCCGGTGCCCCCGGGGCGCTGCGGGCCGGGGCGCTGGCGCTGGCGCTGGCGCTGCACGCGGTGCTGGAGGGGCTGGCGCTGGGGCTGCGCGAAGGGGACGCGGCGGCGCTGCGGGTGCTGCTGGCGCTGCTGCTGCACAAGGGCGCCGTGGCCTTCGGCCTCTCGCTGGAGCTGCTGCGGAGCCGCCTGCGCCCGCCCGCCGTGGCCTCGTGCCTGGTGCTGCTGGCCCTCATGTCCCCGCTGGGCGTCGGGGTGGGCACGGCGCTGGCGGCGGGCGCGGGGCCGAGGCAGCGCCTGTGCCGGGCCGTGCTGGAGGGCTTGGCGGCCGGCACCTTCCTCTTCGTCACCTTCCTGGAGATTCTGCCCCAGGAGCTGGGGGTGCCGCGGAATCGCATCCCCAAGGTGATCCTGATCCTCGCCGGCTTCGCGTTGGTCAGCGCCATCCTCTTCGTCAAGGGGTGAGATCTGCCGGGATCTGCGCCCCGGCCTTGGAGGATCCCGTGGGATTCCTGTGCCCCGAAGTGCCAAAGTGCCTCTCCCAGCTCTGTGCCTCAGTTTCCCTCTCTAACCTGTCCTCTTTCTCAAGCCCGACCTGGGATCCCCCATTCTCGCTCCCACCCTGCACCCCCCCCTTTTCCAAAGTGCCAAAGTGCCTCTCTCAGCGCTGTGCCTCAGTTTCCCCATCTGCACAAGGGATCGGTGCTGTGACCCCCCCCCCAGGACACCGGGAGGGGGTGAATGTCCCCCCACCCCCCCAAAAACCACAAGTGCCCTTATGGACTCCCCCGGATTTGGGGGTGTTGGATGAAGCAAATAAAGAACTGAACCCCAAATTGCTGCCTGTGCCTGGGGAGGGTGGGACCGAATTTGGTGTCGCAGTATCCTCCCTTCATCCCCCAGGATATATGGGCTGGGGGAGTCTGGTACCCCCTAATTTTGGGTCTGGGGAGTGTCTGCTCAGTTCCCAGGCTTGGGGAGGGGGTGACCCCGCTGTACCCCCAGAGCCGCCCCCATTTCTGAGCCCCTCCGTGCTCGTCCGGCCCATTCCCCTCACAGCGCAGACCACGCCCCTTCCCCGCCCCGCGCTCTCGCGTTGCTCTCCGGGATTTGTAGTCCCAGTCTACCCCCAGTACTTCAGAACCCTGGGCCTGCGCAGCGCCGCACAGACCGCTGGGAGTTGTAGTCCGGGCACTCAGCACACTCTGATTTTGGTACGGCCTGCTAAACTACAGATCCCGGCATGCCGCGCGCGCGTTGGAGGGGTCCCTTTAAAGGGCTCAAAACTTCGAAGGGTATTAAAAAATCTTTATTCACTGAGTCAAAAATAAAACAATAGGAAAATCAGAATAAACCTTTGGAATGCTTATCTCCCCCCCACACACCCTCAGTCTGGCCCGGCTGCTGAGTTCTGGCCTGGCTGAGTCTGGCCTGGTTCAGTCTGGCCTGGCTGAGTTCTGACCCTCCCCAGCCCAGCCAGGCTCAGCTGAGCATCTGCAGCCCCTGGGCTGTCACGGATGAGATGGACAAATGACACACACACACTTGTGCAAATACAGTAACAGTTGTACCTCCTTTATTATTATAAATTGCTCTCCAGTGTTAAAGCAATAAAAATTATTTGCATCAAAACAGTGCAACACATTCAGACAGCAAAAATTTGTTTTAAGAAATCATCATTTCAGAAAGCATAATTTCAGAAGGCACCATTTCAGAAGGCATCATTTCAGAAGGCAGGAGCTTATTGCCTTTTACTGGTCCAAATAAATAATGTCAAGTAGTGAAATGTCAAGTGTTGACAATAAATTATTAAGGCATTAGTACTGCTCAGTAAGGCACACTTCAAATATCCCTTTTGTGTTAATACTGTCACAGTTTCTGTGCTAATGGCCTTGATTCCTCCTTGCTACGGTAAACTCGTATTTTATCAATTTGGTCTTTTCCTGAGTTGTTTGGTCTGTAAACCAGGTGAGATATTAACTCAGTGCGTCCATCCTCCCTCCAGAGAGGAAGGACAAAATTCTGGTGTGTAGAGGAGCACCATGAAGACACTGAGGTCAGTGAAGAGGAATCGAGACCCAGATGGGAGGGGTGAGGAGATGCCTTTAATTTTAGGCTGAAATCCTAAGATAAAGAGAACCTTTGCTCTTGAACAGCTCATCCTTCATACAGTACCCCATAAACTGACACAGCGCATGAACACAGCTTGTGGAAAATGAGGGGAATGGAATGGAGAGAACCACGAGAGAACTGTTTCCTTGTGGAGAAGTCTCCATAAAATTAACAAGAGGGACCTCTCTCCCTAAGTGAAATGAAGGAGGACAATTCTAGAAGTAGTAAAGTGACTGAAATTTTAGGTTTTGTCACTTTGCATTGTCAGTAAGAAAAGGAAAGTTGTAGGGGGGGAAGGGGAATGTTCTGAAGGTTTTAATTCTTAGTGTTCCTTCTTTTTAGTTACTGTTACATAAATATCAAAACAAACCGTAAAAATATAAAGAAAATAACAGGACACTAAATAAAAAATAAATTTTTCTTAATGCTGTTTTCAACTTCAGCGGCTGCTTGGCCATTCCCTAATCCTACCTCACAACAGGAAAATGGTAATTACATTCCAGTGTCCCATGTTATTTTCTTTATGTGTTTTCACCTTGTCCCTTTTCCTTATCTGGGAGAGAATTAGTGTTTGTAGGTTTGTTTGTTCTAAAGCTTTATCAACAGCATTTGGAGTGTTGCATAGCACCAAAGGGTTGATCTGCTCCATCACAGAGATTCCTCTTCACGTGAGTCGTCCTGGCTGCCAATGCTGGTCCAGCACCTTCCCCTCATCCAGGGCACTGGTAAAAACAAAAAAAACAACCTGCTGTCGCTGCTTTTGCCCTTCTGTGTGCAGCACACCTGGCTAAAAGCAGCGAAGCAAAGTCCAGTGCAGGCCAGGCTGAGAGAACCCAGCCCTGAGGATTTTGGAGCTGCCCAAAGTGCTGGCCATGAGGCTGCTCCTGGTGTTGGGACAGTCCTGGTGGCATTGGGACACTCCTGGGGACACGGTCTGACTGTGGCATTGGGACACTCCTGGTGGAAGGCCCAGCTGAGGCAGAAATCTCAGCCCAGCCCCACCGTGGGGCCGGCCAGTGACCTGTCCCCAGGCCAGAGGAAACAGAGCTTGGGCTTTGTTGGTTTTTAAAAATCTGCTTTTCTACAGAGGCTGTTCAGCTCCTTTCAGTGGTTTCAATCACACACCCAGCCAGCACATTGGCTCTGCCCCACAGGGAACCAACCCCACAGCCCCTGGGCTCTGTGCCACCTAAAAACTCAACAATGTGTTAAACCATGAGGAGAGATGAGACAGAGTCAGGAGAACCCCAAATCAGCACCAAATCCACCCCAAATCAGCACCAAATCCACCCCAAATCCATCCCACCCTGCCTCTGTCCCCCTCCCAGGTCCCATCTCCAGCTCCCCAGGGCTCCAGGGATGGTTTTCCATACTCACATTTATATTTACAGCAGACCACGAGGCAAATCAGTAAAAGCACCACGACTGCAATGACAAGTATGAAGCTGATCAAGATCCAGAACAAGATCCAGATCCAGCTGCCGGAGTGGGCACCTGCAAAAGAAAGATCCAGGGGTGACATCCCAAAATCAACCTGGCTCTTCCTGGCATTGGGGCAGAGGGGATTTGGCCCCAAACCCCACCCTGATCCCTCATTCCAGGGGATCTCACTCCAAGCCAGGGCAGAGGCGGCGCTGGATGAGGACGAGCGGCTTGGCGGAGGCAGCAGCAGGAGAATCCCAGAATCCCTAAATCCCCAAACCCCAGAATCCCCAAACCCCAGAATCCCAAAATCCCCAAACCCCAGAATCCCAAAATCCCAAAATCCCCAAATCCCACAGTTGTTGGGTGAGAAAGGAACTGTGGAGATCTCCCAGCTCTGCCAGGACAGGGTCACCCAGAGCAGGGGACACGGCCAGGTGGGTTTGGGGTGGCTCCAGAGGGGACACTCCATGGGAAGAGGTTCTCAAACAGGGATGGTTTCTTGGGGTTGGGTTTGTGGCCACCACTCCTTGTCCCGTCCCTGGCTCCTCTGGGAAGAGCCTGGACATTCCCAGCACAGGGATTTTGGGAGGAGCTGGAGGGTGCTGGGCTGGGGCTCCCCAATCCCCCTTCCCAGACAGGCATGGAAAAGCTGCCCCGGGCATTCAGGGACAATTGGGGACAATTGGGGACACTCAGGAGCACGGCTGGACATGGACAGGGGTGGTGCTTACCTGTGCTGGGAGGGACCGTGCTGATTGCTGGTGAGGAGAGAGAAAGGAACACGGGTCAGAGCTTCCCTCTGCATCTGAGCCACCGCTCCAGGGAGAGCCAGAGCCTGGAGAGTGGGATCAGCTCAGCCCAAACCCAAATCCCAGCTTTTGCTGCTCTCAGGGATATCAGGATCAGCCCATCCCAACCCCAACATTCCCGTGTTTCTCAGGGGATCAGGATCAGCCCACCCCACCTTTCCCCCGCCTGTCCGCGGCTCTCACCTGCGCAGAGCTCCCTGAGGTTGGTGACAGTGACGTTCCTGCTGCTGACGGGGTTCTGTGCCATGCACATCGGTGGCTCCTTCATTTCCAACAGTGATTTATTCACCACCAGCATGGGGCCCTCAGCCAACAGCTGATCCCCCGCCCACCAGCCGTAGGAGACATCCCCGAAGTCGGTGCTGTTCACGAAGTCGATGCCAGACAGGGAGCACTGCAGGTAGTGGTGGTGGCAGCTCCCGTCCGAGCAGTTCTGGGCCTCATTGGTGACCGTGAGCTCTGGCAGTTTCCCTAGGGGAACAGGGGTGTCACAAACCTCTCTTTCAGAGTAAAGCCCCCCCAAAATAGCATTAAAAGCACCTACTGAACACGTAGAGAGTGAAGTTGTGTGCTTTTCCGCTGATTATTGCAGAGTAGTTCCCGGCATTCTCCATCCTCAGTGGGGCGACTGTGAGCGCACGGCCTTTCTCGGACACAGTATAATAAGGTTTGTATGTGTCGTTATGAAAAACGGCAATAGAAGGCTCCTTAAACGGCACAGTCGCTATCAATTTATTCCCAGAACGCCACAGTGCCGGGTTTTCATCTGTGGTGTTGACGCGGAAGGTCACGGACTCGCCCAGGACCCTGATCACCACCGTGATGTTACTGGCAGGGGGAGAAAAAGTGAGGAGAGAACTTGGGATGGAGGTCAGTTGAAGAAGGGATGAAGGTGGGATCAAGGTGGGATGAAGCGGCTGAACCCAGAGGATGAAGCCCATCAGGCCTGGGGGTGCTTGAGGGCTCATGGGGGGCTCATGGAAGGGTCCCTGGGAGAAGGAAGAGCACGAGGCCACCCCCAGGCCGAGCCCCCTGAGCCTCGTGCCAAGGATGGAGCCCGGAGGGGACCTGAGAGGGAAAGGGGAACGAGGATTTGGGGATGGGAGGGTCAGGAAGGGTCACTGAGCAGGACAGGGAGCTCCTGGTCAGACCTGCAGCTGCTCCTTGGAGGAGAATCTGGGAATTGTGGAAAAGTTTGGGTTGGGAGGGACCCAAAACTGCTCTCATTCCACTCCCCTAAAATCCCCAAACCTTCCCCCAGCCCTGCCCAGCCTGGCCCTGGACACTGCCAGGGGTGCCTGGGGCAGCTGCACCACGGCTTCTCCACAGGGAAGGGAACCTTGAAACTCTGAAACTCACTACAAAAGAGGGGATGGAGAGGGGTTGGCTGCAGGTTTTGGGGGATTCTCCTCGGTTCTCTCACCTCACACTGGCTGGAGCTGCCATGATGGGCTCGTCTCTT